TAATGCAACCATTAGCCAAATATACTATCAATAAAATCCTGGGTTGCAAGTACTCACCTTAATATTTAAAAAAAAAAAAAAAAAACACCCATGTACAATTAGTAATTTTCTTAATTTATTTAAATAATTTAATAGAAAGCTTAAAGTTTTTTTATATAACTAATATTATCATACTTTTTAAATTACTGTGATTAGTAAATTTTATGCTTCACTTACTACTTAGAATCTGAGAATCTAGAAATCAGAAATCCAAAATATAAATTATAAAAATAAAAAAATTCTAAAATTATTAAATTTTTTTTTTTTTTTTCATACTAACAAATTCTTTATAGCAGATGCTTTAAATATCAAACTTAAATACCATCATAGAACTTGCTTTGGATGTTGGAAATGCTTATATTGTGCAGTAGACTTGCACCAGATCACATGTAGTTATAAAAAATCTTTAGTCCCAATAAAAAAAAATAGAACTATTCATGTCAAGCAGGCATATACACATAAAAATAAGCCTACTTGGGCTACTTCAAAGTTTGAATACAGTCATAGAAGAGTTTTTGAGTATAATTACCAAATAAATTTAAAAAGCCTTTTAAGTTTTCTTTTTGTGACTGGTGTTACAACATATTACTCAAATTGAATCCTAACAAAACTAAAGAAAAATTAATAGAGAAAGCAAATGATAAAATGACAGATTTAAAAATAATATCAGATAAAGCAATAGATAAGACAACAGATAAAGCAACAGATGTTATAATAAATAAAGCTACAGATTTAGTAATAGATATGAGAATGGGTTTCATAAGTGCAACTATAAATGTAATCAATATAATTTTATTTTTTTTATTATATATAATATAAGTTCATTTATAATTTTTTTATTTTTATTTCTATTTCTAGAAAATATTTTCATCATCATTTTCATCTGTTATACCTGATGAAGATAAAGCAATAATTAGTAATGATGATACTGAATTAGAAATAGGCTATAAATTAATTATTAAAACTGCAGAAGTGAGTTTATTGTTAGCTAAATGGTTCAAAAAATCATTGTTAACTGTAGATAAATTTCTTTTGTCAATTCATAATAAAATTATTATGTTGACAAAAGATATTACTCTTATACCAACTGATTATACTATTATATTTAAAACACTAAGAGAAACTGGTGTGGGTACTCAATTAGCTAATACCCAAGATTTTTTAAAATTTAAAGCTAATTGTTTAAAGTTGGCTACAAAAAACATTGATATAGAAATTTACATAACAATTACACAGACAATCAAACAAAAAAAGAATAAAAAGGTAATTAGTTTTTATGTATTATATTATATATTACTATAATTAATTACTAAATTGTTATTATATATGTATATGTATATAAAAAATAGTTTAGAATACAAATTTTAATAACAATAGTTACAAAAATAGTAATAAAGTTCCAACTATATCATCTTTGTCTGTACAAGAAAAGGCAATGACTGAGAACATTTTAGAAATTCAAAAGAATACCATTGTAACATATACAATTGACCTTGTTTTAACAAAAAAAGTAATAAAAGTTTATATCTAAAAATTAATTTTATGATGCTTTCGATATAGGCATCAGATATGATAATTTTTATTTTAAATTAATTGTATAAATTATATGTAATTTGTCTAGGATATAGTTTTATGTATAATATATATTTTTAGAATAAAGGTTTAAGTACACTTAAAGAATCTTCAACATATTTGCTTTTTTTTCATATCAAGTTATCTTTTAAGAAAATATATTCTTCTATATTACCACAAATACCATCATCATAAACATCACAAACACCTATGCTACTACAAATACTTTTACTGCAAACATTATTGCAAAGCAATTGAATTTCTAAACCTCAGCATTTCAACCTTTTTTGGCACCATTTAATTTATATAATGCCCACCTTTGATTCTATATAACTTATATTACATGCCATCTTCAATGCCATTTAACTCATATTATACACTAACACAATTTGATCTATTTCAATTTCAAGCCAATTAATATAGTCCAAATGCTTTACCAACTATGGCCAATTTATTGAAAAAAATAGATGAAAAAGAAGAAACTATTAACTTTTATCAAAATTTGTTAAATAAATTTGAATTGCAACAAATTTCAGTAAGACACTTGAGCAAATTGTCAGATGAAGAATTTAAACAATATAGAGTAAATACAATTAATGCCTAACAAACCTTGCATGATTATGCTGACAAGTACAATTGCAACAAAAACTAGTAATTATTTTAATAAAAATAATGAGCTTATATTATATAATAACACCTAATTTGCTATTAACAAAAAATATAAAAAAAAACTAATTTTTATTAATTTAAAATAGATTCAATAGTTATAGGCTATTTTTGTGCAATTGCCAAAATGAATGAACATATCTTGCATACATATTATATTATTTGGTAAGTTTGTTGTTTTTTTTAAGTCTTTATAACAGTTAAGATTTGAGTTTTATTGAATTTTATTATTATATTGCTACTAGCAAATATACATACAGAAATAGGTCAAAATTTCAAAAAACTTAGCTAAATTGTAAGACAAATATGTCAAAAATATAGCAAAGTTATTTTAATCTTTAAAGATATAATTAGTTTTTTTTTTATAAACTGTATATGCTAAAAAAATACTATTTTTTATACCTATATGGGCCCTTATATGTACACAATGATATTAATATATTTTATTCTTTGTTTATTATTTGCTAATATCAATAAACTATTTTGTAAAAATGTTAGTAACATATAAATCCAATAATAGCTTTATATAAAACATGTTTGTATATAAATATGATGTATATTATAAGCAAAAACATATTTTAGCAAAACAAATTTGAAAAATTTATGAAATAATACAGTATAATATGATTTTAGTTTTCTTTTACAAAGTATACTAATTGCTTTCTTTATATTTATTTAAATTGAATTTAAAAGTTAACTAAACTAGTTAAAAGTTCTATATTTCAAACAGCCTTTTGTTTATATTTAGAATTTAAACACTAAAGAGTTTACTACTTTTGAATTAGTGGCTCTGAACCCAAATAATATTTGAAATATGAGATTATTTTTGGTTATAGCATTACTATAAAGAAATGATTATAAACTAAATGCATATTACAGTATATAACAGTATTATATAGATAGTAAATATAAAAATATATACATATATATATTTTTTTTAGCTTTTAAAAGTCATAGAAAAAATATCACAAAAATAGCTTAAAAAAAGCTAATTTTAATAATATACTAGTGATCTTAAGCATAATATATTTACAGATCTACAATTATTAGTAATAGAGGCTTCAAAAAGATTATGATTTAATTATTGCTTTTGAATCTCTTACAATAAAATTGATATTGATATAGGCTTAAATAAAAGAATTACTAAAGGTTTCATTAAAGTGATATTTATTGCATTAATGCTTGCATTATTATCTAATACAATAATATTAAATTTTTATAACTACAAAATAAAAGCACAAGCTATTGCTAAGGGTTGGTTACTTTTCTAACATTATTTAAATATGATAATAACTATTTGTATTCTAAAGTATAATAAAAATTTTTAGCTATTTCTGGAGTGATTTGTGCACATGCTACCAATAAAAGATACATTGAATTAAATGAGCTCTTTACAAAATAACAATATCATTGCAAAAAATTTTAATTATAGAAAATGCCATTTCAATTGGATTGAATCAGGTGAATATAGGAGAAGGAATTCCACACATACTCCAAAAGCATCTAAATATTCAAGTAATCTATTATTATGATGAATTCATATATTATTAAAGACTTAGATGCAATGGTGATGTGAATAAGAATTCATTTAGACTAACTACAAAATAAATAAAATCAATGAAATTTTAATTACAAAATAATTTTTTAATTGGTATATATGCTTTATTTATAATAAAATCTTTAAATCTAGGCTTCATATAATTGTCTTCAGTTATGTCAATAGCAATTATTCTCTGTAATAATAAAGCTGACCAAATTGTAAACTTTATCTCATGTATAAATGCTACTTTTTTTGTTGCACAGCTATTAATTTCTGAATAGCCATAGCCTCTTATTATATATTAGTAATCTTTTGCAGATTTATCAATAAATATTAGTTGGTCTGACTGATAATGTATATCTATTTGTGCCATAAAAGCAGTATATACAAGTTTATTATATTTCTTTGCCTTCTTATATAGCTAAAATAAAATTAATACATAAAAATTATTAAATTTTTCTTTAAACAACAATGGTCTTTTGCAAGAAAATTGGCTTGTAAAAGCTATCTAATTGGCTTGTAAAAACTATCTAATAATTGCATATTTTAATTCTCTGTTAATTCTTATATATAAATTACTGCATACTGAAAATGTATACATCATCTGAAGTATGTATCACATTTTTAGTATGCTAAATTATTTAATTATAACATGGATGTATTAACATATTTGAATTTATATATTATGACCATATAAGCAAAAACAATTTGATCAAATTTGCAAATAATTTCACTTACAAATTCAATTAAAAGATACTTATTTTATAGTAAAATAAACTAATGCTAACTCAACTTTTTTTCAGGTAATTCTATAATAAGCTAGAGATCTCCATAAGGTTGGAACTGATACATGTTTTTCAGTAAATCACTCCATTTAATCAACATGTTTATACAAATAATAGTTAACTTTTTCTCTAATAATTTTCTGTAAAATCTAATTTATATATAATTATTAGAATGTTTTTACAAATCAAAAAAGTTGTATACATACACTCATATCATTCCTATCAGATGTTTATTACAATTCAGAAACTTGTTGCCATGGATAAATAACTATGTTTTATTTTTTATAAATTCTTATTATTTTGTTTATTAATAATTTGGTTATGTATAAGATAGAGACAAGTTTATTTTTCAAATAACTATTATAATGCAAATAGACAATACACTACTTGAGATTCTCACTATAGGAATATAACATCTGAAAGTCAAAGATAACGAATTAATTTTTAAATATTTGATGTTGATACTTATATATAGAAAGATGATCTCACTATAATGCTCAGTTTTTATATCAATAATACAGTTTTGTTTTTAGAAAATAACTTATTAAACAAGTACAATTACATAATATATAATAAATTTAAGCACTTATCTACATGAAATATGCTTATTATTAAATATATGTATTTATATTATTGATCTAATAATATTTATTAGTTGATAGTGGTAAATAATTTATAAAAAATAAATAAAAATATAATAAATAAAAACAATTCAATAAAACAAATACTTAAAGTTCAATTTTCTTATATTTTTTATAAGAAAAATATCAAAATCTAAAACTTTATTAGATATATAAAAAAATAACTTTTGTTTTTTTTCAATATTATATTAAGTTTATTCATTATAATATATTGTCATTTTGTCATTTATTCATTTTTTTCTCAACACCTATTCTTTATATTTATATTGAGATTATAAAAATGTTTTTAGTTTTAGAACAATATGTTTCATTGCTTTTTATTATTTTCTTGTCACAATTTATCAAAAAATATGATAATATCCATTTGTGGTTTAAAAATAATATTTGTGGTTATAAGAAGAAAGAATATAGAATTCACAATATTATTTGACCTAATTAGCAATAATTTCTTGTATATCGGTAGATATAATGTTAGGAAAACAAAAATAAAAGAAGAATTTTGAAAATTTTTATTTATAAAAAAATAATTAGATTTATTTAAAAAATTTTAAGGAAATTTAAAGAATTTTCTAGATTTTCATGTGATGATCAATCATCAGGTGATTACAGTAATTTGAAAAGCACAGTAATATATAATTAAATACTTCTAAAAAAAATAAAATCTTATGCTTAGAATTTTTGAAGTTAATTAGATTATAAGTTTAAAAGTCTAAAATCTAGTTTTCTTTTAAAAGTACTCAAATACAATGCAAAATTATATTTTTTTTACTTTAAAATATTTTTTTATATAAGTTTATACTGTACTAAATAACTATATATGCAAATATTTCACTAACCAACATGACTTAGATACATTTCTTTATATAAACCACACATTGTGCTTAATAGCCACATGTAAATATTTAATTCAACATGATTTCTTTGTATAAGTCACAATATTTTTATTTACCAGCAGAACTTAGATACGTTTCTTTATATAAGTCACATGCCTAATAGTCACATGCAAATATTTCATTAAGCAACATGGCTTGGGTAGAGATGGGACACTGCGCAGGCGTAAATTTCCGTAAAGCCCGGAATTCTTCGGAATGTCGCAGAATTTAACAATTTTAGCCCGCATTAGCCGTAATGCAGGCCCGTGCAGGCTGCTCAGCCTGCGCAGTAGATTCGAAAAATCCTCGATTTTCCCATCTCTAGGCTTGGGTATATTTATTTATATGAAGCACATGCAGTACTTAATAGTCATGCAAATTTTCATCCACTAAAATGACTTAGGTACATTTCTTTATGCAAGCCACATTCTGTGTTTAATAATCACATGCAAATATTTCATTCACCAACATGGTTCAGGTACATACGTATGTATATTTTTTATGAGTCATATGCGCGCATGCAATGCTTAATAGACGCATACAATATTTCATTCTCCAACATGGCTCAGTCTTTTTCAAAGTCTTAGAGAATCTAGACTTGCTGAAAGCTTAGACTTCGTCTTTCTCCGTGGGCTTCGCCATTCGACGGTGGTTTCGCAATTCGACAAGGGTTTCACCATTCGCCGGAGCTTCGCCAGTTTTGTGTTTCGCCAGGTTTAGGTTTCGCGTTTCTCCTTTTGCAAAAAACAGTTTCGCCTAACAATTATACTTACTTAAGTATATATAAAGTTTTATTAGGGTTGTAGGACTCAACTATTAAAAATAATCAAAAACCTTTTTTGTTTTAGGAAAGTTAGCATAATAGCGACTTCTTAAGGATAGATAGAATTGGGTTATTACCATGCTAACGTCTCTAAAACAAAAAGGGATTTTGATTATTATTAATAGTGGAGTCCTACTACCTACTAAAACTTTCTATATACTTCTTTTTTGTTTATTCTTCATTTTTTTAAATTGTATAAATTAAAAATTGATTTAAACAGCCAATCATATGATACCAGACGATAATCTGGGAAACGATTGTGCTACCGAATTTGCATATCGATTTCTATAAATATTCAAAATTTTACACCCCATGACGATGAACAATCGTCATCTAATTATTTTCAACACCAAATTCAAAATGATCGTAAAATTATTTGAAAATCTTTCAAATAATTATCTTGGGCTTCTTAATGACGAAGAGGATTTTAATGTAATTGTTGAAGTTGGAGATTTGCAAAACATTAAGAGATTCAAAACGCACTCTGCTGTTTTAAGATATCGTTCTTTATATTTTCGTAATGAATTGGCAAATACTAGTAAAGATGGAAATAACATTAAAACGATTAAATTAAAATCTATCTCTATTCAACAATTTGATATTATTATTAAGTAAGTTATCGATTTAATATACAACCTAACAATGTTTTACATAATTAATTGATAATTAAATAAATTTATTCGTAGGTATATATATGGTGGTGTTATCTTGCTGGAAAATTCCGATGCATCATTTATTTTTGATCTCATGCTTGTTGCTCATAAACTTCTTCTTGAAGAATTAGTTCAATACTTGGAAACTCATTTGATTCAAGTAAATAATCACTGGCTTCGATTACACTTTGCTAGGGTTTATCAAGCAAGCTTCCAGCATAACAAGCTTCAAAAATTGCAAAAATGGTGTAATGATATTGCTATAAAATATCCTGATAAAATTTTTGAATCTGAAGAATTTACCTCACTTCATGAAGATGCATTAGTCTCACTTATTGGACGCGATGACTTGCAAATGAAAGAAGTGAATATTTGGAATTATGTAATTGAATGGGGAATTTCTCAAAATTCTGGCTTACCATCTAATTCCGAAGAATGGTCTAATGAAAATTTTTTGGCTTTAAAAACTACTTTGCAAAATTGTTTACCTCTTATTCGTTATTTTCATATCTCTGGCGATGATATTATTGATTATGTAGAACCATATAAACAAATCCTTGAAAAAAACCTTTGGAAAGATATAAAAAGGCGATTTATGTCATCAAATAGAGAAATAACATCAATAATCCTTCCTCCACGTACAGTTATCACATCAACACTACCACCTAGAGTAAAAGATCGATTTTCAACAATTATTGATGATGAACATGCAGCTATAATTGCATCTTGGATTGATAAGAAAGATAATTCATATTCAGCAATGGATCATCCTTACGAATTTAAATTACTTCTTCGTGGAATAAAAGATGGTTTTACTAATAATTCATTTTGGAATTTATGTAATAAGAAAGAAAATATTGTAGTAGTTGTAAAGGTTAAAGGAACTGATGAAATTCTTGGTGGATATAATCCTATTGGATGGAATAAACCAGTTGATGGTGCAAATTCTAAAAAAATGCAACGATTGTTTCATTTTTTCATTCAATAATCGTAATATCCAAGATTTCGTTTTAAGTCGTGTAAAAAACAATGAGAATGCAATTTGTAATTCTAAATTTAGAGGTCCGTGTTTTGGTGGTAAACTTGATTTGTTTGGATTCCCTTCAGATGCTGATTTTTGCATGCTAGATACTTTTAATAAAGATCGTCAATGTTATTGCGGTCATTATAAATATACTAATGCAATTAGAAATGCATCTGAAGAAAAAAATGGTAAATCATATTTTTCACTAGAAGATTATGAAATATTCCAAATTCATAAAATAATAAAATAATTAAATAATAAAATTTAATTTAGAAATTGTTACAAAAGTAATCAAACAGTAATACAGTATAAGAAAAAAGGACTTGCAGTAAAAAGCAAATTGCTTAAATATTTTGAGTTTTTATAGTAATAAAATTTAAATTCACAAAATCTACCAAGCTCTAAATATAAATATCCTTGCATATTATTCAAAGTTTCTTGCACAATAATGTATTCTATATTATGAATTCTCAAATTGTATTTTGGTTCTATAAAATGAATAATATTAGAAAGTTTATTGCTACTAGTAATGCGATAGAATCATATTCAATAAGTTTTGCTACATATGATTAGTTGCAGTTACAACAAGACTGTATAATTCATTGTATTTTAACTTTAATTAGCTTTGTAACTTTAATTTGTTGAGATTATAAGCTTCTCGGATTTTTATTTTCTTACAAATAGTACTATTTAGTTGAGTAACTGTTAGTTTTTAAGATTTATATAAATTATATGCAATAATTACGTAATAAAAGTATTGAAATTGCTACTTAATAGTAATAATGAAATATAAAAAATTCTTTTAATGAACCTTTTGCTTAGTGAATACTTTTTAATGAAGTAATGAATTTGATAAAACTTAAAGAATCTACCTATTTTAAAAACCCTATCAAGATTATGCCAATTATTTGCTTCTATTTTGTTGCTTTGAAATCCAAAAAAATTATTGAGATAATTTATACATTGCTTAGGCGACCATAGGAAAACTTTCATGTGATTGGCTGTTTAAATCAATTTAACTTTACATTATTCATACAGTTTAAAGTACTTTTTTAAAAAAAAATAAAACTATGAAAAATGAACAAAAAAGAAGTATACAGAAAGTTTTATTATGGCTGTAGGACTTAATAATTAAAAATGATCAAAATCATAGAATTAGGTTATTATCATGCTAACTTCTCTTAAACCAGAAAGGATTATGATTATTTTTAATAATAAAGTTCTATAATCATAATAAAACTTTTCATATACTGTACTTCTTTTTGGTTATTCTTTGTAAAATTTCACATATGAAACTACCTTTCAGGTTCTAATAAAAAAATTCCTTGCATTATTTTGCTGTAGATTATACTTTTTATGCAACCTAATCTTGCCTAACATTAACACTAACCCCAACCATAATAAAAAAAAACTTTGTTTTAATTTCGTTTTACACCTGATCTTATGATCTGTAGCAGATGCGATAACATTACTTAGAAAATAGGAAGACTTTCGTTTAAATCAAAATAAAACTATTGAGTTATAGACAATTTTTAACAGAACGGACGTTTTGTTTTGTATTTTTTGATCATGTAACGTTGAAATGCAACGTAAAGACGCGATAAATAAATTTACTCAAATTATGTTTATGATTTACCAGATGAAATGAATTAACAGCAGATGTTCATATTTATAAAAATTATGTATATAAAAAATTGGATTACTGAATATGAAAAATTACATATTCAACTGTATCGAAGTATAAATGTTATGATAATGTTATAACATGCATAATTTAAAGTCAAATGCAACCATAAGTTGTAACTTAGTTTACGCTATTAAGTTTCTACTGCTTCCCTAGTTAAACTTAAAATCTTATTATTCTTGAGGTACCTTAACGCTAATGTATTTTATTTTATCTATTTAAAGATGGGAACTTATGGAAAATTAGTAATCAAAACTACGTAAGTACATACATACTTGTTTTATATAATCATTCTTACTTTCATAATACTCACGAATAATGGAAATTTATATATAGTTATTATTATCATTGTTTTCAAAATACACCCAATTGAAAATCGGTTATAAGGTTGTACCGTGCTGCAGCTCTAACTTTGCATGCTTCATTATTAAATTTATAATACAATCATGTGGTGAAAAGAAGAGAATTGGGTATGTGTATGACATCTATGGCAATGAATGTTTTTTTTTCATACTAATATTTGTGAATGTCAAAGAGCATGTTACCGAGCGAATCATTTTAGTAAGCGAGTCTCGAGCTATTCCTTTTATTTTCTCTTTATGTTCATTTACTGATTTTTAATTCTTAAATAAATAGTTTTTCTTCCAAATATATCAATACATGTCACAATACTAAGCATCATGTGAGCGTCGTGAAGCAAGTTGCTGAGCAAAACAGCATATAAGCAGCAAGCAAGCCCACGAGCAACTCACTTATTTTTTTCTTTTTTCTGAGTAACTCACGTATGCAACCAAGTAAAGAACTTTTAATGTATGAAAATTTATCAGATTTAATTGCTATTTTTCCTGAATTCTATTTACAAAGCCTATAATATCTTTAATATGTGATAAGGTTTGAATTTCGACTTTGATTTTATATGCATTACTACTTAAATATGGATTCCTCAAAATGCAATATCTCTATCAGAAAGTAATGTTTGTCGTTATTGATCTGTTAATGCATACCAGATATTTAGTGATACGTGTAAACTTCATTACGTAATATAAGTCGTAATCTTTCTAAATATAGTTTATAAGTACATTGTTACGACAAGAGAGAGCTTTTATATTTTCCAACCAAATTTAACTCAGTGCCGCAATTTACTTCAATGCACAAGACAAAGAAAATATTCTCTCTCTCTCTCTCTAAGTGTAACCAGTAGAAGAAAGAATCCTCCTTTTATACTAATTATTAGACTTTAACTAATTATTAGGCAAAACGTAAATGATGACCTACTATATAAAATATCGTAATGATCATCAACGTACGTATAGATTCGATCATTATAAAGTTATACAAAAAAAGTACAATGTTAAAGATTACATCATTCTTCGTAACAACATACGATGAAGGAAATCTACATTCTCAGATAGTGTAAAACTTATTTAAAACAGTTTGCTTTGAAGTACATTCTATTTTGGTATGTACTGTACTGTACGTATCTTATTTCTATACAAAGAGGCTAAAAAATTAATATTTTTTGCATTTTAGAGGTTGATATCAGGAAATTTTTTTTCAATGTGATACACGTAACGCAGTATTGCCTATTAAACTAATTGGACACAGGATTTAGGCAAACTGGACATGTGTCAATTGAACAGTCCTTAGAGTCTATTAACAATTGACAACGCTAGATTGTGCCTAATTTGGTTGCGTACTTACGTAGCTATGGTGAAAATAAAATAGGGTCATGCGACTTCGGAAGCAATTCAAACCTCTAATATCAATGCTTGTAAAATTGATTTCATAAAATTTCACTAATTCAAGCTAATATGTATTAGTGAAGTTTTTCACCGCGCTCGTTTGATTTCATCCCTATCTTTAGTCAGATTAATTGAGAAAAATTTATTAGAACGCAAGAAGTAATTTCGCAAACAAAATTTCGATTTTATTTATTTTCTCAAATTTCACGTTATAATGGAAGTTGCAAGTCGGACTTTTTCGACAAGTTATCCACCATAATTTATTTTATTTACATAACTATATTACTAAATCTATGCACCTAATACCTTTTATCGTAACAAATAGAATTAAGATGGAAATCAGAGCCCTGCAAAGTAAGACGATAAAAGAGATGCAGGTAAAGGAGTCTCTCTTTCGACATTTAGTATTAAATTAACATGTATTGTAATCCAAAATAAGTCATCTGTATTACAGCATAAGTAAAGTTCAATAAAGTGCGCCCCATAGCGTCCCGTGATAAAACAGGTTCAAAAAAAAAAATCTATGCAAAACCAGTGAAGAAAGATTAATTACTTATACATTAGCAAATTTTCTATATAAGTTGCTGAAAAATTTCTTGCCCTACACCAATTTTTTTCAACCTTATTACTATTCAAGATTTAAAAATTTAAAACATAATTTATAGCGAAAAGCAATGAATTATCAATTTTTAAATTCAATTTTTCTTAAGTTTGCTAGCATTTACTATTTTTATTGAGGAGATCCCAGTAAAGTCCATGATGTAAAAACTCATTTCATCGTTCAACATACTTAAATGCAGAAACAAAGACCGGCATTACCACTGATCAAGATTGTATTGGGTGGGTTTTTACAGACGGTGTATGTCTTTTTGGTGTTAATAGAATGCCTTCATTTGATATTTGCACATATCCTACATTTAATGATACACCTAAGTAATTGTTTATTAAAATATAATCGTGTGTTATCTTTCTAATATTTACTATTTTTTCTGATAAATATAAATATTTTCCTTCCTGCTTAACTGATAATTTGTCCAAGTACAATTAGTAATAAATTTTATTTCGTAGATTATTTGCTAATACTTAGTATTAAATGTATTTTTTGATTAAATTTTATTTTATTTTATTTACTGAGAATATTTTCATTTTTTAAAAGTTTTTTGAATTTTTTTTAATTGTTTGTTAATATTATTTATTCTTCGCAATAAAGAAAAAAATAAGTTATTTTTGGAAATAGAAATTTTTATCAGAATCGTTTCGATAATCTAAATTTATTAATTATCCTTTCAGATAATTAAATAATATATGATCATGCTTTAATCATATGATTATACTTTACAAGTCGTTATCGGCTGATTATGTTGATATCATGACATACTTATTAGTGTTTGCACAATTATCATTCTGAGTATGTTAATTATCCGAACATTTGTCAGAGCTAGTGAAGAACATCTGCACAGATATAATATGGTAATTTTACTACTGATAACTTTGATTATATTCGCATCTTCGCATATGTACTGTACATAGTGAAAAGGTTGACCGTTAAATAAATTTGCTTTTACATAATGACTATAAATGTGATATAAATTATGCACATAGGAAATTCAATCAATAAAATAATAATATACGTGTGTCAATATTGTGAAAATACCAAAATAAGTGTGGAAGTATTAGTACCTTAAAATATAATTGTTCTTTTTCAACATTAAAGGTTCTTCCAATTTTTTTCAAACGGAAAGTGCAGTTTTTTTTTAAGTAAAAAATCTAAATTACACTAGTGCTATATTTTGGTATTCCAAAATCTGTAATGCGCTAAATCGTCAAATGAATTAAAATCTATAAACATGTGATTAGAATACTTATAAAACTTAATATATTTCGTGAGAAGATTAATATAAAATACAGTCAGAATTCTGTAAATGCACTGCTGTGAAATAGTGCACTTAGAGAATTGTGTGCATTTATAGAATAAAAATTATATAAGATGGAACCTGACTATTGTTTTGTCTCTCATACGCTAGTGACTTTTCATGGAACAACATACGGGTTTTATTCCTTCTGCCATCGAGCGTCCTACGCAAAATTACAAAGCATCGCTTTTTTTTTTTTTTTTTTTAATAAAATGACTGTCATCTCGACAGGCCATAACTGTAAGTGAAAACTAATCTATTATTAGGTCATCAAGATCAAATAAAAACCAAACCGTTTGATGACTGTCGTCCCGACAGGTCATTTATAAAAACTTAGATTTGACAAAACAATGCTCGTTTAGTAGTCATAGGTAGGGCGGGAGGATCGATAAAACCAGACTAGAAGTCGGGTTCGCAAAAGAAATAGAGTTATCTCTAATTCTATTCAATACCAAATTCTTAAATACTCAAATCAAATAAACTCACAAGACGTCATTATTACTGATGAACCTACTAAACCCACTAAACGTAACAATTACCTCATAAAATCGAAAAGTCTATTTCATTACTAAAAAGATCGTCATACTAAAACACGTCACTACAAAACTACCCATGTGACCGTAATAGGGCATGTCACATGCCTAGTTTTGCTGATTCGAGACAAAAGCTGCCTCGATACTATCGTATCGAGCAGCTTTATGCCGTACATTTATAGAGCATCCATTTATGTAGTTCTGACTAGAGATGGGACACAGCGCAGGCGGAATTTTTCGGAAGCCCGGAATTTTCCGTAATGCCGCAGAATTTAACAATTTTGGCCCGCATTAGCCGTAATGCAGGCCCGTGCAGGCTGCGCAATAGATTCAAAAAATCCTCGATATTCCCATCTCTAGTTCTGACTGTATTGACACTTTTAATTATTAATAAATTAAGAACAGAACCTATTTTTAAGATTGTTTCCGTTCATTTATAATTAGTATTCTAGAAATAGTTTAAATCTCATTACTTTTATTTCATTTCTTTTTATTTATTTTATTACTGTATGCACATTGGGATTCATTAATAAAATTTGAGTTGTTGAAATTTTATCTGTGGCAGAATAAGTTTTGGGTTAAAAATATCGAAATTTCGTGATAAAGATTTCTGCTAATCTCAGATTTGTCATAAGCATAATTATTTTTATACCATTAGCTCATTTATTTAACGATTTAAGTTAATTAGTATTAGAGTTTAAATTTTTGATTAACTAATAAAATTTTTACGATATCACGAAAGCCCGCTTTGCGTAAACCATACTCTCCGTTTTTACTTACGAAAAACTCCGTTCCGGGTATATCGATATTTTTTGCATTCAAAAGATCTTGGCAAAAATATAAAAATTTTATACACATATAAATATATATTGCAAATTTTTATTCCAAACAACCAAGACTTTATAAATATTTGTTGAAATTGTGGTAAAAATTATAATCAGCTAAATTAATGTAATTTATTTTATTTAAAAGTCTTAATATAATGACCATTGTAAATACAAGTCAAAAGAAAACCAAGAATTATATTTGACGACTATAGATCCTTTAACTTGTTCATCGATGTTAAATATTATGAAGACCCCAACTTGTCTTGAATAACCGCAATTAAATGAGTTAAATGCGAAATATGAGTGCTACATCGGAAAAACCTGTAAGTGAAAACCCCATGTCTTATCATTATCAGAATTTATTCATGAATTACATATCAACGGCCGGATTGTCACAGTAGGGTTATTAGCTTTTAGTAGTATGGCTTGATTTTACTGTCCATAGATTTTCCTCTCAATGACACTCGAATTTTTTGCACTCACGTGAATTTTGTAATGATTCAATCTTGTTGTGCAACAAATCAGAATCAAGATTTTAAACACGAGCTATATCTTTGGTTCACACCCTTATAATTTAGTGTTCCAAACAAACAGTTCCCTAATTAAGGTTTACTTATGCCAAGAAATGACATAATATAAATTAGGAAATTTGATCCAAAGTGTGAAACTATCAATTATAATTACAAAGCAAAAAATTAGAAATTCCTCTAATTTAGGAAATTTGATCTCTATGTTAGAATCACAATGCAAAGAATTATAAATTAACAATTATCGTTATGCAATAAAGAATTTATTGTAACGTAAATTTTAGGCTAAATATTAATTGATCCAAAGGTGTGAAACGACCAATTAGAATTATAAAGTATAAGAATTAGAAATTCAAAATTATGCAATTAAAACATTAATTAAATTGATTAAATTCTCTCGCAAAAACAAAAAATCCACATATATATTCGTTGACAAAATATGAAACCTTTTCCGTGTATAACCTAATAAGATTGAATTTTTTAACTATTAATCTAATTTGAGTGACAAGCAAGTGAAAATGTACATTCTAAACATAAAATCCATCTTTAGAATGTACATTTGTTTCAATGTATAAAAACGCAATGAACTCCACTTGCTCCAAATTGATTCTCCCAATTATTCCTATATATACATATAAAATACATATAAAAATGAAGTTAATTATCTTCGTCACTCTTTTGGCTATCTTTTCTGCAGGATTCGCCGGTGCTATTGTGACTGGAAATTATTTTGACCGTATTTTTGTCATCTGGTTCGAAAACCAAGATTACTCTAGTGTAGTAAATAATACCTATTTGACCAGCTTATATAATAGTAATGAAGGAGAACTTCTTACTAATTATTTCGCAGTTTCCCATCCATCTGAGGTACATTCCTTTTTTTTTTTTATCTTTGTGAGTTTCATATTTAAAATATTTGTCAAATAATTTAATTGTTCTTTCTATTAGCCCAATTATGTTGCCTCAATTTATGGTTCAACTGCTGGTATCACAAACGATGGTGATTATAATATCACTGGATGTAATGTAGTTGACCTTCTTGAAGCCAAATCTATTTCTTGGAAAGGTTATTTCGAGAACTATAGTAAGTTATTAATATTATTATGTTTAGGTTTTTGCTTTTAATTCGTATTCACTTTTATATGTTTTATAGCTTGCGGCGTTTGTTATACCGGTGACTCTTGCCCCACGAAAAAGGGTTTATATGCAAGAAAGCACAACCCTTTCATTTCTATGCAGGATATAAACACAAACTCTGCACGTTGCGCTAAAATAGTGGATTCCTCCGTACTTGATACTGATATAAGTGGTAACACTGTACCACAATTTGCTTATTACGTGCCAAACCTAAATGACGATGGACATGACACTAGTTTAACCTATGCGATGAATTGGTTCCAAACCTGGTTTAATGCGAGACGTACTAATCCAAACTTTAACACCAACACATTATTTGTCGTTATTTGGGACGAAGCTGTAAGTTCAACATCAAATCAAGTCTTCGCCATGCTTTATGGTACTCCAGTCGTTCCTACATCTAATCATGACGATAATACTGCTTATACTCATTATTCAATCATGAAAACTGTCGAGGCAAATTGGAATTTAACTAATTGTAACAGAAATGATGTTACCGCGAATCAGTTTATGAACTTAAGACATCCTTAATGTCACAACTGTTACCCTTAATGTTCTATTGATACGTAATACGCGTCAAGATTTAAATTCTCTTTATTTTTATTTCTATAAAATACATTCTTTTATTATTTTATTTCTATAAAATACATTCTTTTATTATTTTATTACTATATATATATATTATATATAATTATATCGATTTAGTCGATCATTAATTTGTTTATAGGATGTAAAAAGCTCCAATATTTCATCTTTTTTTTTCTATTTCTTCTTTCTTGATTTATTATAGTTCTTGTAATCTTGTTATTTTTTTTTAGAATATAGATATTTCTATGTTAGACGCATTAAATGTCTTATTCGATTAGTCTTAAGTAACATTTTCCATACAGTGAAATTTATGTAATACATTATGTGATTATATATCAAATGATTAAGAAATTATATATCGAATTATTACCGACTATACAAAAGATATATATCCTTCTTACCTTCAAATAAAGAAGTTTTGATCTCGGTCAATTATTTAATAAGTAAAAAGTATATATTTCGATTTCGTACCCATCAATCAATTTCGCGTTCTAACCAAATTTATATATTTTATTTTGAGTACAACTCTTAAATATGAAAGTAAATATTAGAATATTAAAGGCTGTAAATCTCTTAAAACCCCTAGTTTCCAATTTTAGATAATATAGTAAACACTGAGTCTAGTACGGATTTAAATTATTAAGCAATCTATAAATGTATACAAGGTTATGCTCATGTAATAGACAATTTCTTTAATATATCAAAAACATTGACAATAATAATGGTCTATAGTATAAAGTCAATTTTTCTTTTGCATATTACTTTCTAATTTTTATTATTATTGTCCACTAACAATTCTTTAAATTACGTTTTAAATTTGTATTTTATAAAGAAAAATTCATATAAATTAGTTTAAAAATAGCTTATTTTTATATATTAAGGTCACCTTCGTTAATATCAACCTATTTGAATTGAAATCATATTAAAGTTGACATATATTAGGGAATTTTGATATATAAAAATTTATAAAAATTTGGCAGTTGGTTTAGGTTGATATTAACAGGGTTGATATTAACAGGGTTGATATTAACAAGGTTGATATTAATGAGGGTGACCTGTATAATTGTGTATACCATCTAAATTATAGATCGACCTTTTATTTACAAAACTGTTAAAACTTGCTAGTAAAATATTTTACAATTTTTCTTAAAATTTTACCACTTTTAAGAGGTTTGTGCTTTTTAGAACATTCAACCAAGTAGATCATTATTATTAATTATTAATCATATAAATTTTATTTCTAGTTTTAGCTAATTTAATACAAAATTAAATTTTACTATTTTGGCTTTATTAATTTTATACAAATTTTATTACAAATTAACTATTAAATTTATATAAATTGACAATTAAATTTATATAAGTTGACAATCAATTGATAAAGTTGATAATTAAATTTATATAATTTAGTTATTAAATTTTTATATTATTATTGATTATTTAATCAATTTTATTATTTATATATTATAAACTGTATATTAAAAAGAAAATTAAAAATATAGTTATTTCAAATTGTTCTATTGTTATTAACCTAAAAGATTTTGTTACTAAATTAAAGTTTTATAAGTAATATATAAAATAATAATTAATTTTTTAGTTTGTTTGATTTTTTTGCACTTTTGTATAACATTTTATTAGAAATATAATTGGTTAGTAAAATTAGAAATATTAAAAGTTTTTATATAATAATATAACATTCTTTATATAATAATTTATTTAATTGTTTAAATTTTTTGTTTATATAATTAAACTTATTATATTAAGAACATTTATATTTTAATAAATCTAATTTACAATTTTAACTATTTATATAATTATTTATGCTTAATTATTAGTATATTCATTTGGTATAATAATAAATTAAGTATTATTTTTTTTTATTGCCTTAAGCAGTTACACTAGTACTTTATTAAGATTCTTGAAACTAAATACATATATAATTACAGAGAATTTCCCAATGTTTAAGTCTAGCATTACTTAGTTACCCTAATAGTATCTAAGTGCAATCTGCTGCACTATCTCAGTTAGAGATAGACTGTTTGTCTAACTACTTAAAGCTATACCAAAAGGGTCTTTTTCCTTTCATAACAAGCATATTAATTGTCTTTTGAACTTTTTTTTTCTTTTATTTTATTTTTTCTATTTCTTCCTTTTTTTTCCTTCTTTTTTTTCTTTTTCTTTTATTCTTTTGTCATTTCTTTTTGCTACATTCTCTTATACCCAAATACTTTTTTTTATTTTACTTGTTATATTAATTACTTTTTTCTATTTTTGTATCTTTTCATATCAGATTCTTTATATTTGATCATAAAAGGTATTTCATACTGTTCTTGTTACTATATTGAGACATTTCTTTATTACTTGCTTACTTAGCAGCTTATCAAGTCTTTTTCTTACTTCTACTGTAGTTAGTCTTTTTATTAGCATCTTTTTATTCATAACTTCTTCTGCTTCTGTTTCATTGAATAGTGCTTTGTATAATATTTGTACTGGAATTCTGATTTTTTTCTCTTCTTTGAGTCTATTTTATGCTGTTGCTGTTGAAACTTTTTGTATTTATTTTCATAAACTTTTTTGTTCAATACAGCTTGTTAATTATTCTTGGGTTTCATCTTTACCATTTTGATAGACTTAACATTCTGTTGTTATATATACTTCTAATCTTCTTTTATTTAGCTCTACTAGTATTATTAGATTATTCATTACACACTTGATCACTGTAACTCTTTTTGTGTTTAATTTCTTGATGTACAATATACTCTTTTTGTTCTACTAATCTTCTTCCAAAACTTGATCAGTTGTAAAGTGTGTGTTCTGTTTCTGGTTCTAGAATTCTAATTGGCTTTGTATCTCTCCAATTGGCTCCTATTCTAGCATTCACAATTATTTTACAAAGAAGTTTCATAGGTATATCTATCCTTTTGTTTCTTCATTTTAGTTAGTATTCTCTATCTTTATACTTAAATTTTTCTATCTGAATTACTTCTTTGCAACTTGCTCTCTTTTTTGCTAAAAGATTTGCTTTGTCATTTTATCTGTCTTTACTATAGTTTTTAACTTTAATTAATTCTATATTAGCATTTTTCTTTTTGACTAGCTCAATAAAATTTAATATTCACATTGCATTTTTCTTTTTCAGAATTTCTTCATTTTTTGTACTCTGTAGTACTTTACTAATGTTTCTTATTGTTACATTGCTATCTGTATAAATTTCTATATTTTTCCCTTCAGGTACTATTAGAATTGTTATTTATATTGCTACTAGCTCTGCTAATGTCACTGATGACCATTCTTCTAGGCTTAATGTCATTTCTTCTTCTAATTAGTTGATTTTCTCTTCTACCTTACTATAACAAAACATAAGTCTTATCTTTCTAAATCTATACCAAATAACACAATGTTTAACCTATATTTTATAATATTTATAATATATAAGACATTCAACTTTAGCATCACATCTCTAATTATCTCCAACAAATCAACAACTTTGACTTTCTTAGCATTACAACTTGAATTAGACTTTAACAATTATAAAATAACTTATGATCTCCTATTAATATTTTATATCATTCTAAACCAATTATTAATGACCCTAATAGATACTTATTAAACTTCAAAATTATTTAACTTTTTATTTATCTTGGCTTAGTAATCTTAACCAATCCTAATATTACATGATCTTATACAATTAGTAATGGAGACCAGTCACTAAAATCAATCTTATCTCAGTATTCTAAATACCCAATCTTTAAAAAACAACTTAGCAATCAAATATTATATAACTTAAACAATTTTGTATAGCTGACAACAGTATCTTATTAGATGGAAACTATTGTTTACCTTGACTTTTATACTTTTCTGAAGAAAGAAAACCCCTTTGGTTTTCTTACTTAGAAGACACAATTCTAGTATACTCTTATTACTGAAATATATTACCATACTACCAATCACCAGGTTATAACCCTTATGTCTATTATATTATTAATACATTTAAAAAACTCACAAAATCTAAACTTTAATTACTTTCATATCATAATAAAGAAATTATTATTAGAAAAATATAAAAATACTTTCTCTCATCTAATCATTATTTCATCATTCACTGAACTTCCAATATAGATTTAAATTACTCAAAATTCTATCTTCTACCTCTTGCTGAATACAAATGATATACAGAATATCATCTTAATTTTTACAAAATTAATCAAACTTGTACTGTTGAAATCTCTGCAATTATTTTAACACAATTTCTTGACAGAACCAATTCCAAACACCAACTCAACCTTAATATAAACTACTTGGACTTACCTGCTCTATAGCTGTCAAGCATCCAACCCATATTCCTTCTCTAACTATAATTTCTATTACTAATTTAATTGCTTTTGAAATCTTTATTCTAAGTAAAACTACCAACAAACTTATATCTATCTCTTAACTTAATTACTCTTATTAACAACTATTCTTTTATACTGATGGCTTAGTAATCAACATTGGTACTGATCAATATATAATAGATATTGGTTAGATCCAAGTTGATAATAATAATTAACCTATTAATTTCTTTTCTGCTAAAATACAATTCTGATCCTCATCATATAAAGAAAAGCTCTTCTTAATTATTACTGTAATTTTAATAGTGTCATGCAATTCAGTAGTCAATATTTTCACTAATTCTTAATTAGTAATTTTCAAATTTAATAACCTCCAACTTCACTTAAATCATTCTAATAAGTTATTCAAATTCAACTCATAGCCTATTTGGCATACTCTTTCTAATATTATCAAATCATACAAATTACAAATTATTTTTCACAAAGTGCAGACTCATTCAGATAATAATCTTAATGAATAAGCAGACTCTCTTGTCAAACAACATATATTATCACTACTTCTTTTATTTAATTATATAAATCTCTATAACTCTTATCATATTTTTTAATAGGAGC